TATATATATATCAAATATTTCAAGACTGCATATGAAGCCTGGAATAAAGGGATAATTAGGAGGTGAAATAAAAACAATGCAACACTGACATGGATCTGCAGCTAGTTTTCCCTCAGGGAATTGAGGATGACAAATTCCATATGATGCATTATGTATTTTCTTCTATCTTTTGCACATGCCATCCCTTTGCACAGTGATAAAACAATTCTCCTCAAGCAATCAATAATAAAAGACCCGTCTAAATAACTAAAAACTGCTTGTTTTCTGTGCTCAAACAAAACTTTAGGTTCAGGGCATTATTAAACAGAAGTTCTATCATGCAGATCAAGGACTTCATGTTACAAATGTCTATTGGACACAAAAGGTGCATTTATTGTTTTAACACGTCGTCTTATGACTGTCGTGTGTATTTTCAACAGGGACATTGATTGCAACTAAGTGTCAGTCAAAAGAGCCGGGGTACTAAAATATCGTTTTTGTTCTGACATCAGTTTAAAGAAATAATAGCATCAGTCCACACCATCCATGCAGCTCATCCAAGAAAGCTTTGCTCAGTTTTTGACAATACAGCAACTCTTGGCCATCAGAGATGTCAAGCGGCTGCAAGCTAACATTACGCGCTTAGCAATCGGCTTACACTTAATGTGTAAAATGCTACTGCCTTCTCTTTAGCCTGGCAGTACTGCAACCCTGGCTGTGCATGCAGGGTCCAGTGCATGGGCTTGCACTAATGGATGCAGGCCTCCACTTCCGTTTTTTTTTTTCCCTGGCACAAACCCGCGCGCAGCATACAGGATGGCACTGAAAGCCTGTAGCATCCAAAGTAGCTTTGCAGCATTTTGCTCCCAACAATACAACAAAAAATACGTGCATTTTTACAAAGTATTCATATCAAGATGTTGTTTTTATATTTAATTAACATTTCAAGACTCGCGTGTAAACATCTGAATCCGCATGTGAGTGAGCTCCAACATTGCCGGCTGCGAAGCTAAAGCTACGTCTCGTTTAGCCTAGCTTGCTGCTAGCAAAGATAACATTCATCAATGCGAAAAACAAACAGCATAAACAATGTTCCTACCAGCTTTTCACCGTCGTCATTTCCTGACAGACAAAGACGAGGTTGGATTTTGTCACAAGAAACCCACTTCAACACAATATGCCAACTGTTTCATGAACTACAAGCAAAAATTAAGTGTAAAAACGAAATAAACCCCAGTCATAAGAGACAAAGCACAGGGACCATCTTGCCGGATGGCTGTGGACGCGGTAAAATGGCGCACCTCGACTCTATCATGTGAGTGTTCCTATTGGCTGGTCGCCTCAGAGGATCCGTTTTTCTGATTGGTTTAGGCTGAAAGAGGAAAATATTTCCCGTGAAAAGTGGAGCAGAACGGTATGGCAGACCGTTGTAGCATGTAATCAAACCACACCTTTTATCAACGTTTTTTTTTATTTTTATTTCAAACCTAAGATCATACATTCTCTAATGCCCTGATGCATCTCAGTGATCCAGGTAGAAAAAAATCAAAAAGAAAAAATAAGTAGGTCCTCTGGATGGATTCTTTAGTGAAATGTTACATCTCTCCTCCAACAGACTTCTTCAGTCTGATGAGTTTCAGGTGAACTCAGCCTTATAAGCACTGCCTTCACGTGGACAAAAAGGTTAGTCACATGCAAAAGAGGGCCATCACCTAATAATAGGCTTGATTAGCTCTATTGTTCATAGAGGGTCATGTGCCCCATCACCTGACCTGTGTTGTGTTATGTGTACAGGTGCTGGTCATAAAATTAGAATATCATGAAAAAGTAGATTTATTTCAGTAATTCCATTTAAAAAGTGAAACTTGTATATTATATTCATACATTACATACAAACTCATATATTTCAAATGTTTATTTAGTTTAATTTTGATG